CTTCCAGTAGATCATTACATTGGGTGCTTCTTCCTCTTTAATTCTTTATGTTAAAACAAGCTTCTGGGCCAGTGGGGCTTTTGGAATAATAGAATGGTGGTAAGTCAAAAAGCGCCACTTCAGGGACTGAACTCGATGATCATTATATAAAGTCTAATGTACTTACACTTTCATAAATGTCACCTATGTTTCTCCAGTAAGAGTATTTTCTTGGTGTGTTGTTTCTGTTGGCTAAACAACAGTGAAAGTTGTCTTTGAAAAGACAAGCATGCCAAATAGTGTTAAATTAAAACTCTTCCTTCTTTAAGAGGTAAATTTTTCTCCCAAGAACCATCTCAGATTTAGGCTTTGTTTAGGAGCTTCTTCTTAGCATAAATGTTACAGCATTTTTTCTATTGTTAGTGGAGCTCTAATTCTGTAAGTGTCTGCCTGTTTGTCTCTTGAAGTGATTTCATTAGATGGTTTGTAATTAACTCTCTGACATCATTAATCTTGTATTCAGTGTCTGGATTTGTGTACTCTAGAAACCAAATGTTAAACTTCCTTTGGTTGAACCACTAGCTTTCTAATCATTTTTAAACAAGAAGCATTAAAATCGTGCTAAAAATGAGTAGATTAGGGATTAGTGATCTCTCAAATGAACCTGACTGTAAAATTAATTCAATGCACAGAAAAAAAGAATCCAAAGAATTTAAGTAACTTCTGAATACACAACCCTGTGTGTAATAGTGTAGCCGTTATTTAAAGTGGGGTCTGGGGAACCCTGAAACCCTTTCAGGGTTCCATGAGGACAAAGTTATTGTCATAATAATATTAAGACATTATTGGAGGAGGGGCCGGAAAAAATGTTAAGACATTATTTGCGTTTTTTTGCTATGTTGATATTTGCACTGATGTGCAAAAGCAAAGGCAGAGAAAACTGCTTGTCCTGAGCATGAATCAAGGCGGTGGCATCAAACTGTACTAGTGGTCATTTCATTCTTCACCTCCATGCACCAATTTTAAAAGAAAATGTGTTGCACACAGTATGTCTTACTGTAGCAGTAAAAATTATTTTATTAAAATCTCGACCCTTGAGGACATCTCTTTTTTATACTCCATGATGAAATGTGAAGTACACAAAAAGTATCTTTGTATCTCCAAGTACAACCATGGTCTGGTTATCTCAGGGAAGAGATCTAGTACCTAGCAGGGCTGTGTTCGGAGGATAGCAAGAACCCCAAAGGAATCTTGGACGTGATTGTTGTTGGCAGTGGTGTTGGTAGTGGTATTGGTGTGTTGTCTGAAATGGTTTTGTGTGTACTGTGGATAGAGCAAATGGGTAGGTGTATGAGAAGTACTGGGAATTGGGGTTTTCGTTGCGGGGAAGGGAGATACTAACATCGTGTTGAGGGAGATGAAGAATCCTGTCTCGTTGGGTTTGAATTCAAGATGTCAAAATGAACTCAGATGTAAGATACTTAAAACACCTTTGTTCTGTCCAGGCAAAGCAATGATACTTTACTAGCGAGGAGCACACCTAGATCTCAGAGCTTGATTTCCAAATGCCAGGGCTCCTTGGAGAAATGGCTCATTCGGGGTCTGGGGCCAGTACAAGGCTAGCTTGGCACGCCTGTTGTGTCGGAAAACAAGGAGGTGCTCAGAGGCTATTAGGATTGTGTCAAAAGGACACAGAAGCTGGCTTGAAGGAGCTGTCAGTAGCCAAATTTGGGACAATCTGAGTATCAGAAAGAATGATGACAGAGTAATGGGTTAAAACACATTAACTTAAAACAATCCATGAAACTACCTGGGAGGGAGAGTGGGGAGAGAAGTAAAGAGGGAGAGAGAGGGATAGATCCGGAGAGAGAGAATATTACATTACAGGAGAATGCCACCTAACATACGAAGGAGGAATAGTTTTTGAAAATCACCGTTTTGTAACCCCTAACGTGGTGATTGATTCAGGCGAGGGGTATCAATGGATACCGAAACTGTTGAGTAAAATGCTATCAGGGAGAAGGATAGTCATAGAATCTCAAATATCATCCTAGTTATTACTTAACAAGCACAAAGGGGTAAAGATACTTTTGCTAAGAAGAAATCTGGCAGATCTCACTTTAACTTGGTGATCAAACAGCATCACCACTAAAGACACAACCAGATGTTACATGCGATGTGTAGCAGGAACGCAGCACTGCCCACGAAGGAGTCTGGCCGAAGAAAAGCACACTTGAGTCTGACTGAGACTCTAGATTTAAGTACCAAATTACAGGAAATCCAGAGGGACAGAGGAGTCAGCTAAATACCATCTTGGGGCTGCCAAAATCAAAAACCAAACCTCCAGACTCTGGCAAACTCTACAGTCAGATAACCCAGTCTCTTCAAAAACCAGTTGTGAGGGCTTCCCTGGTGGCGCAGTGGTTGAGAGTCCGCCTGCCGATGCAGGGGACACGGGTTCGTGCCCCGGTCCGGGAAGATCCCACATGCCGCGAAGCGGCTGGGCCCATGAGCCATGGCCGCTGAGCCTGCGCGTCCGGAGCCTGTGCTCCGCAATGGGAGAGGCCACAACAGTGAGACGCCCGCGTACCGCACAAAAAAAAAAAAAACAGTTGTGAGAAGAAAGTTAAATATGAAGGTGACGCGAGAAAGGACTTGAGACGTATTGACCAATGTATGGGCCTTATTTGGATCTTGATACAAATACACTGGGGGCTGAAAAAAATAATAGTAACTGTGGACACAGACTGTATATTTGCTCGTAACACAGGGTGAAATGATACTGTGTCTACAATTGCTTTAAAATAATTTAGAAGGAGAGCAGTTGGGTTGGGATACAGATGAAACAAGACTAGCCATGGACAGGTAATTGCTAGGGTGTCCACATGTGTGTTCATGATACTCTTCCATCTACTTAGGAATGTATTTGAAAGTTTTATAATTAAATTAAAAATACTGCTAATTAATAGGGAATAGCTTGACATTTTGTGCCTCTTTATGCAATGCATTGAGAAGTACATGTCATCTGTATAGAATTGTTGCCAATAATATCTGAGTCTGTCAGGAAACAATCACATAAGCTCAGAATATGTGACATTCTACAAGGCAGTTTTCTTGGGTTGTCTACAAAATGTCAGTTATGAAAAGCAACAAAAAATGTCATAAAAAAACAATCAAATACAATGCATGATTCTTTCTTGAGCGGATCCCTTTTGCCCTTAAAAAGTTATGAAAGGGGCTTCCTTGGTGGCGCAGTGGTTGAGAGTCCGCCTGCCGATGCAGGGGACGCGGGTTCGTGCCCCGGTCTGGGAGGATCCCACATGCCGTGGAGCGGCTGGGCCCGTGAGCCATGGCCGCTGAGCCTGCGCGTCCAGAGCCTGTGCTCCGCAACGGGAGAGGCCGCAACAGTGAGAGGCCCGTGTACCGCAAAAAAAAAAAAAAGTTATGAAAGATATTTTGGGTACAATGCAGACATTTGAATATGGATTCATAATACATGATGTTATTGAATGAATATTATTTCAGGTATGATGATGGTTATGTGGTTCTTCAGCAGAATGTCCTTTTTCTGAGATGTGTATGGAAGTATTTTAGGGTGAATTGTATGGTGTCTGCAAATTACTGGAAACATACATGGATTAGGTTGCTGCATTTTTTTTTTTTTTTTTTTCCCGGGTACGCGGGCCTCTCACTGTTGCGGCCTCTCCCGTTGCGGAGCACAGGCTCCGGACGCGCAGGCTCAGCGGCCATGGCTCCCGGGCCCAGCTGCTCCGCGGCATGTGAGATCTTCCCGGACCGGGGCACGAACCCGCGTCCCCTGCATCGGCAGGCGCACTCTCAACCACTGCGCCACCAGGGAAGCCCGCTTGCTGCATTTTAAATCACTATTTTCCTAGGTTAGAAACATTCAAATATCAGCAAATGCCTGAGATTCAACCTAACATTTGTTGAAAGAGAAAAAAGCAAATGGGGGGCTCTACGTGAAGCATCTATAAATGTTTGCACTATTCTTTCACCTTTCTATGTGTTTGAACTTTTTCGAAATAGTTAAGAACAAACAGGTAGTCAGCGTACAAAAATGAACTCTCAGCAGATACATATTTGTTAGATTAAGTGTGCTGACAACATTCTCGCTGGCAATAATTGCCTGGAATAGTGTTTGATAGAATTAATTCTAAACTAAGATTGATTCAGAATACAGAAAAGAAGGAAAGCTTTATTTCATTGTATGAACTTTCATGTGACAAAGAACAGAAAAATAACTACAGGTGGAAATTAAGAAAAGAGTTTAGTGATGTCTTAAGGACTTTTTTTTTTTTTTTTTTTTAACGTGGATGATATTTAAAGACAGATCCACTGTAGGGCTTCCCTGGTGGCGCAGTGGTTGAGAGTCCGCCTGCTGATGCAGGGGACACCGGTTCGTGCCCTGGTCCGGGAAGGTCCCACATGCTGCGGAGCGGCTGGGCCCGTGAGCCATGGCCGCTGAACCTGCGCATCCGGAGCCTGTGCTCCGCAACGGGACAGGCCACAGTGGTGAGAGGCCCGCGTACCACAAAAAAAAAAAAAAAA